TACTCTCCAGGGTTGCTGTACTTTTCAGAAGTTAGCAACTCGCACCAGAGCTTCCCGTCTGCTCCTTTTGACGCGGCCAGGTTTAAAGAAAAACAGGAGGGATTACTTAGACATTCAATGGTACAGTCCAGGGTGTCGTACACGGCGTATGTTCCAACTCTAGGTACATTCAAGTAATAGTGATCGTCTTTTACAAAAATGTCTTGGCGAAGATCTGGGTGATACAAGGTGTTAAATTCTGCGGGACAAAAAATTTTCAAAATTTAGAGGAAACGAATAAACTAAAAAATTTGTCGTACCTATCTGCTGAGTCACTATGTTGCAACAAGGTTTAGAATACTAGACACTTCCACGTATTTTTTCAACTTTTGTCTTAAATTTTCAAATAGCAAGAACTGTTTTTTTTTGTGCCATAACATCAACCAAAACTGAATAATTCAAAGAAACCAGGAACGCAAACTTTACGGAATTATACCATTTTACTTCAAAAGCATTCTGTGTCTTAAATGTAAGATACACCTCAAATTTGGTGAAGTCTTTTTTGGTGCTTTTCTAACTTTTCATTATGTTTTAGCGTTTTACTGCATTGGCCGTCTTTAGACTGGTTTTAAAAACGTTTTATTTATTTTAAAACTGATTTGAATAGCACCACAAACCTTCAATTTGGGCATGTACTCCCTCAGGTGAGATTGAACACAGCAAGAACAGGAGAAAACAGCAGACGAATGAAGGATACAGCAACCATTGAAGGATAAGCAGGTAAGTGTTGAGCGAGGCGCGAAAATTTGTGATCATGGTGCTCTTGGATACAGTGTTGCGCGCTGTACCCATACTCGTAAACACTATCCGTTTCGGGGCCGCAAATAGTTTAAACCCTCCTGGTTCAAACTTTTTCCCTTAAGCTTTTCAAGAATTTTTTCTCAACTGCCAGCCAATGGCAGTTCACGAAATAATTGCTCCATCGAGAAACTTATAAATTTTGCAGACGGTGTTATTTTCAACCGCCTAATCTGCACAACCCTTCGTTTTTTCCACCTGCTTCAAGAGGGATTCTTTCGGTCAACGACCAAATTCTCTTTACCTATTTCTAAAAGTTTTCACAAGAATGTTTAGGAGAATTCGGTCAAAAGAAACAGTGCATTTTGGTAGGACTATTAGGTTTATTCATATGTAAGGTTCAACTTCTCGAAACTTCATTTAAACTTGGGAAGATATCAAGTTACCCTCGATTTGTTCTGATGTTATTTATAATTAGCTGAAAGACTCCATTTCACTTTTTCAGTCAAGTAAGTGTTTTTTGCTAAACGGACAAATATGTCAGTTATGCTAAGTGCTCAAGAGTGAAATGGAAAATACTCCAAGAGTTTAAAAGCCTTTTGACCACATAACTTTATTGAAATAAATTTTTAGAGACTGTATTTGCTAGAAACCCATGTCCAGCTGCCACCAGGAGAGGTAGATACTTTTTCATAACAAAATCTATAATTGACATTTCATTTACATAAAAGCTATAGGTAAAACTAATTTTCCTTTAAATGGAGGGAGAGAAATTGATGTATGGCCAAGATTCTCACGCTGGTACCACGGTCAACAAATAAATGCAAAAGCTAAGCAAACTAATTCCAAGCTAATGGCGTCATTTTTGATCTTCAAATACCAATGTAATGTCTATTTACTATAATAAAAGTTTTTAAAAATGCTTTTAAAAACTTAAACTGCAGAACTGTCAGCACTTGCTCGGACGTGGACAGGGTTAAGAAAAAAGAAACTCATTAAAAAAAAAAAAAATAATGACTACTTTATTCATCCTTCCCTTCGCAAACAGTCTATATCCCCCGATAAATATAGAGATTCTTTTATCCAGTCCTCCTACAACGTAGGCCACCTCAGCGAAGTAAAACAAATTAAAGAGATAAAAGCCTCAGACGTTAATAGACTGCAGTGGATTCTCACGAAGTCGTTAATTACGGAGCAGGGCGTCATATCTGGGAGTGGGAGGTACTTTTTGACGCCGTAATGGAGTGACGCTCACGGGTCGACCACAAACACCCCCGCAACGGTTTTTTGTTTACTTTCGCGGCGTTTAAATTCGCATGCGAAGAAGAGAAAGCACGATCAAAGGTGTGTATAAAAGCAGCTGAATAAAATATACTGTATTCTTATCTGTTGAAGTAGCTGCAAACTAGTTTATCTACGGTAAAGAAATTACCCCGCATTTCCCAAAATTACTCTGGCACATTTCCCAATTATTAATAACCTTACCACCCTCTCCCGAGAATCTCGAGGTTCTGCGATACACGTATTTCTAGTTAATAATTACTAGGGTCTGTCATTTACATAAAAAACGTTGAAGAGTTTGACTGGAATGAGCCACAGAAGCAAGGTGTTACGTGATGCAACTGGGCACTGATCTAACGGGGGTGGGGAGGTGAGGCTTATGTTAGGAGAAATAAGGGAATGCCACCCCCGTCACGGGGATACGATTTAAAGAACGTTTCTTAATTTATGGAATTTCCTCCTCCTTTGACCGCTGAATTTCGGCAATTAATGTTTTTTTTCGAGAGTCGATGCTTTATGTGATAGTTTCCATTTATTAAAATAATTCACTGGATGCTTGAATGTTTTAACAACTGTTTCAAACCCAAAGCAGGGGCGCCCAAAGCTACCATCTGCTCACGAAGTTGTCTGTAACTGCTCAAAAATGAGCATAACTCACATCCTTCCACAGGCTTTTATATCACACTGACTAGCGGTTTAACAGAGCCATCCAAAACATGCTTACACTATTGACCTTTTACCAAGTATTTGTTGCTTCTGTCTTTTCAAACCCGTTGTTTACTTATCTGAAAGCAGAGTTTGTTCGTTTCCCAGCAAACGGGAGAAAGAGTTAAAACGCAGTTGATTCAATCGCCATTTTCCCGCGGTTTCTTATTGCTTGTTTGCTGTCAGGCGTCACACGGGATCACCTGAGTATTTGATTGACAAGCATGAGTCCACAGTTCACTGACAGTTGGTTGATTACGTGCTGTTCTCATGAAGCCCACTTCTTGCTGATGCTGTTTTCTGGGGGTCTCTGGCGTTGTTCGCATCTCTGTTAGTCTTGGGAGAAGAACTGATACCGCGAGTTTTCTGATAATATCGCAGTCTTTCCTAGAAACATAAGAAAAAAAAAGACACGTCAACTTCTCAATCAAGAGTAACTCAATAATTCTTTATGCTGCTTTTTTGCCGCAATTCAGTGAAAACTCTAAAGAACTTAAACTGAGAATTTTTCTCTTAGATCACATTAAAGATGATTTCCTGTTTTGGGAAAGTCACTGTTGTTTTAAGATTTGTTTTCTTGGTTTAGGAAATCTCTCCATGCTTCTATCACCACTATTACCCCTGCCCCATCGCTCCTTGCTTAGTAAAAATTTGACAAAACTTTTCTGCAAGATGCTTGAAAACAAAAAGCACCTTGTGAAGCACAATCAAGGAGGTTATAGCGGAGCTCTCACACGCGAAGCGCGCTTAGCGGAACACCATGGGTAAGAAAATGTGGCAATCTACCCATCCGAGAATATTTGGTAATCACGTGACCGTAAACCATCCGCCCGAGAGACCGTCCGTCCGCACCAGAGGCATACCAATGTAAAATAACTCAACCAACAGGTATGGCAACCCAAACGCAACTCGAGGTTATTTTGGCGGGAAATCGCATAGCCACCCGCGTCTTGTAAAACAGCGGCAGCTAAAGAGTCAATAAAGACGACACGGAAAGCGGAAATTGTTTCTGTATCCGTGTTATCTAAAGTATTAAGCTTAGATTAATTGTCATTCCCACAAATTTGGAATACAGAGCAAGAGAAAGACGGAGAAAAAGAGAGAGTAGGCGGAAGGCTAGCGAAACTCAACGCGAAAAAGCGCGACAGAGATCTAGAGCGAGAGATAAAAAAACACAAGAGACATTTTTTGTTGGAAGAACAATATGAAAATTTTGTAGCGCCGGTAACAAAATGAGAAATGCCCGCGGCCACCAATGCAAGGTGAAAATGAGCGGCAGTAAAAAAAAGTGAACGAGAACACGTACGACATTTCCTCCATAAAAAAGTTTCTGGAAGGTCTGCGTTGTAGTCGTGCAAAACAACGGCAAGGAAATGTACAAAAAAAGTGTGCTGCGCGTGCAGAGTTATTTGGTTTGCTAATTAGACCTATTTTTGTTTTTCACCGTTCTCTGAAGTTGCCTTCGCCGCTTAGCATTACACGATTTTATATTTTGTTTGAACAAACTATAAATATTATCGAGAGCTTGACTTTTAGCCCTGGCTAAATCTATACATTATTTGAATGGTCATACGATAAGATTTCTCCGCGGACTCAAAAGTTAGAACTACATAATAAATAAATAGTACTATGTGAAAGTATTGTTGAAGAAGAATTATTTGAATGGTCTCAGGATTTCACAGATTCAAAAGTTAGAACCACCTTACAAAACTCCATCATACACAAAAGCATCAATTCCATCTTCTCTTACCAGTTCCTGGTTTGCTCTGTATGTTTTTCTTTTTATATCAGTCCACTCATTCAAAAGCTTCTGCTCAACTTCCACTTCAAACTTCTGTTCATCTGAGAGGGGAGCAGCTAGTCTAAGTAAGAAGGCAGGAGTTACACGTGTAAAGCTGTACACTGTAGACCTGTTTTCCTTTTTATTCTTATTAAAGGTGGCCAATGTGTACACTGTTTTCAGGATGATAATCTTGGGAGTTTGTAAGCAAGGGAATACTCTTAGATAAATCTAATTAGTAAATTTCAGGAAAACTAATTTTTAACTTCATCCCTCAGGGCAGCCAAAATGTCACTTAATGAAAAATTTCTTAATTTGTTTCCTATGTAGTTGAGCAAATTGCACTACTAGCCTTTGGCTTACGGAGGACTTCGGAGTCGTCAATTTATCACAAGCCTAGAGAATTATCATCTTGCAACAACAGGGTTATGATCCTATAGGTGGTTTTCACGTTACGTCGTCACCGCCATGTTGATGGACGGTAAACAAAAGATCACTCATCAGCTCGTTTTGTTTGTCCACCAGCATTTGTTTATTTCACTATTGTTATTTGTGTGTTTCGAGATTGCATGAAAACCACCTATTTACGACTTCTTTCCTTTACCATCAAGTAGACACTAAGTTATTGGAGTCACAAGTAGAAGCAGAAGAACTAAACCAATCACAAAGTGTGGGAATGAACATTGTACTTGGTCTGTCCTTCCCCTCCTACTTCTGACTACTGTAATCTGGTTTTCACTAGAGTCAGAACAAAATGGAAGTGCTCGCTTCTCTCTGACTCCAATTCCACTGTGTTTATGACCCCACTTACAACTCCGATTTTCAGTGTTTTCACTAAGTTATAAGTAGCCTACAAATGCAGATGTATTTCTGGTCATTGCTTCTCTACACTTGAAAAGTACAACAACCAAACAAAAGGTTCTACCTCACAAATTGTTCGGCTGCTTGGGTTCGCACACATGGAGAGAATCAACGACCGGAAATATGTCTGCGTTTGCTGGCTAAGTTATGAGCACTTTTACGGCTCGCGTATGACTTCAGCTCTAGCCAATGAAAACCAGCTCTAAGAAAGCTTATTTGGGAATTTTTAACAACCAACTTCAACCCCCCACAAAGCTACTGAAAAGCCAATCAATCCCCAACCAGTGAAAGAGTTTTTCAAAAATTTGAAGTGAGTGGTGGTCATAATTCAAAGTAAAAGTGTTTTAACCATTCGCCCCCTGCAGATTTTGCCAAAAAACGCGGTTTGAAGCTAGTCGAGCAGTTTTCTGGTCACTGTCGTGCTATAAAGGCTAACTCTTAAGCCATTTACAGGTCTTACCCTTCTCGAACTTCTGATCCAGATGCAAAATATTAGAAGTTCTGGCATGCATGGAAAGCAAAATTTTGAATATAGTTTTTGGGTTTAAAAGTGACACAGCAGTCTTAACTTCGACGTTTTGCTTTCTCTCCTCCCTCTCTTTTCGCTTTTCTTGCCTCAATTTTTCTTCCTTGGCATTGAGTAGGCTTCATTTTGGTGGGAAAAGTTTTAAAGAAAGCTTTTAGGATCTTAGAGTGAGATGAAAGGAAAGTTAGGCGGGTAGTGGAACATGATTTTCATTGACATGGCAATTTTCAGGTCAATGTTACAAGTTTTTTTTTCCTTTTTCTCCAGTGTCCTTGATTGAATTGAGCTCATTCTGGTATGGTTTGAAAGAGCTCTTCACTCTGCACACGCTAGCGGACAAAGTAAAAATACTGTTGTCCTTGACCAGTAAAACTGATGACGTCACAAGCGGTAAAAGGAACGTGGATCTGCACGGGCGGTTATGGGCGGCTCAGGAGCGACTGGGTTAAGGTGAGGGTTACTGTAGCTTATCACCTTCTTTGTGAACAAGACACTTTCAAAAAGGTGGTAGATAACAACATTTTAAGGTACAATATACCTTGTGCAGTAAATACCTACATGACAGCCAATGGTGTGACTTTTAACATGTGACTTAATGACTCTTTAGTTGTCTCTGCTTTAAAAGAAGAGGGTGGCTGTGCGATTTCCAGTCAAACTAACCTCGAGTTGCATTTGGGTTGCCATACCTGTCACAGTTGATTGAGCTATTTTACATTTCCGCCTGTGGTGCGGACGGACGGTCGGGCGGTCGGTGTACGGTCACGTGATTACCAAATTTTCTCGGATGAGTAGTTTACCACATTTTCTTACCCATGGCGCTCTGCTACGCGCGCCTCGCGCGCGAGAGCTCCGCTATTAAAAGGAAAAGGCCTCACTTAAACGCCTTTAAGTAAAAATAGCCGTCGCTTTCCTGCACTGACACTGACTTTGCCTACGATATTGTATTGATTTCAGATAACTTGCAGTGAAAATTTAAAAGATCTGTTTCAGCCATAAAGTGTCAATTCAGCTCTGCAGGTTAAAGTCTGATTCAGCCCCTCCTGAATCCATTTGAGCACAATTTAGGCCAAAAAAGCTCAATCAAAAGGCTATTCCAGCCCACGCTGAGGCCAATTTCAGCCCTTGGGACCAAATCAGCCCTAGCTAATTGGATTGTACTGGCCCTGATTTAGGGGAGCCAAATAAGACTAAAAAATAGGAATGTATTTTACTCACCGAAACGGCCCCATTTTTAGGGCTAAAACAGATCTTTCTGATTTACAGTGTGGATAAAGCTCAATCATTGCTAGAGCGAGTTGAAACTGCTGCCACAGATCGAAGTTGGTCTTCACATAGACAGCAGCAAGGCCGAATACGTGGCATATAACCTCCGATCGACGTCAGGGCGACCTTTCTGTACCCTAGACGGATCTAGACAATTCAGAAAGCTAAGACAAGTACGTAGGCTCTTGGATAGATCAAACGAAAAAAGACCTTGAGATCCGTGAAGCTAAAGCATGGTCCGCTAGCAACAAACTAACAGTGGTGTGAAATTCATCCTCAGCGGAGATATCAGGATACGTTTCTTAAGAGCTGCCGTTGAATCTTGTCTATTATTCTTGTCAAAGAGTTCGACATTGACCACTGCAGTGGAAAAACAACTTGATGGCTGCTACACAAGGCGTCTACGTGCTGCTGTGAACGTAAGCTGGAAAGACCATATATCTAACAAGGAGTCTCAGTTTCAACAAGTCTCGAGGTACGTCGGCTGCATTTTAGTGGCCACTGTTGGAGAAGCACGAACGAGACTGTTTGCTAACTACTTCTTTGGGAACCAAAAGACGGCAGACGCCGTAAGGCGGCGGGGGGAGGAGGGGTGGAACGGGGGAAGCACCCAACAACAACATTGATTGACCAATTAGATAGTGACACGGGTCTTACGAGGCAGGATCTTGAATCTGCATGTCATGACCAACAGACGGAGATGGAACAGACTTATCAAATCGGTGCGGGTGCGCCCGAAATAGATAGACTGAGATAGATTAACCTTTCCTCGGTCTCCGAGGATGGGTCGGCAGCAATAGCTACAAGCAGACATTCTAGCAGGCGCAAGAAGTTCATATGGGCGAAAAAACGAATCGTGTTTCCCTCGCGCCCCCCTTGAACTCCTGCACCCTTATAACTTCCATGCATCTTCTTCGCAGGCTAGCAACAAACGTCTGTCAGAAAAAACAAACGGAATGATATACAGACATAGAGATACTTTTATTCAACACTGAATTGTCACAACTACATAAAATAAAGAGCTTTAGCAACGACGACGGCGACGGCGACGGCAACGAAAACGTAAATCAGTTTAATTGATATTTTAAACCGCGAGTAAGTTGTCCTTTTATTGGTGACGTTTTCGCGGCCGTCGCTGTCGGCGTTGCTGCTCCCTTGCCTAGTCCCTGTTCAGCGTTTTCTAGGCCTTCTCTGCCAATTCACTAGACGTCTGAGACTATGGACCACAGACTTGCAGATCAATTCTCCTTTTGATTTTTGGAAATAGTAGTACTCTGTAAGTTCTACCTTGATCTTAACTGAAAGAGGTTTCCATTATAACTTTGCAGCTCTAAAATCAATTTGTGGTTAGACTCTGGGATACCTCTTATCTTGAATGGTCCCCTGGAAAAACAAGTTGTGGCTACAGTACCTTCCCTGACTGTTGTAGGCCGAACGCTATCACTTCGTATGTAGAATGGCAAGTGCCTCAGTAAACCGCTCTCTAGAGCTTTCTTTATGTGCATAACTAGTCTCAATGCATCATATATATCATAAATTGCAGAGTGATTTTAAAGCAGTATCCTTGGACTTTTTCTTGTGTTTAGACTGGGTTTAATTAAAATGTGCCTTGAAAATCAAATCTTAAATTCGCTAGAACTTGATGTATGCAAAGGACAAACATAAGTGAAGATCCTGAAATACCCCATTAATATACTAAAAAAAGGGTGATTTTACTCAACATTAGTGCCAAAGAGCGGCTACAACTAAACAAAGGAAAACAATGAAATTAGGGTATGATACTGCGTATTAGTCTACTACCTTTTTACTGGTCACGAGTAAAATAAAATTTCAAATCAAATTTCAAATTTCAAATCAACGCGAGGCTGATTTGAAATTACAAGACCGATTATCCCTGAATGACCTGAATTATACGACACGAAGTCCTATTACTAATTAATCGTGTCAATAACAAAATTCAAGAATCTTAGTTTTGGAATATTTATTAGATCTTATTAATGTAAGTACAAAGTTTTTATTGCATCAGCTTGCAGCTAGGCTCAAAGCAAAAATAGCGTACACTTGAGGAACTTTACCGTTTTCTACATTTTCAAAGCTTTCTAAATCAGGCTCTCGAATTTTTAAAAAATTGTATCTGAATGACAGTCATTGGATCAGACAATTTCGTCCATTCTCTTTTCCAAGCTGCAGCTGCAGTCAGCTGCTATATGGTTAAAAACTATTGGCTTGTAATATTTTCCTACTTGATTGTCGTTGGCTTTTTAACTGTCAGATTTGATCTGTCTGATTACAAACTCCTGGTAATCGAACAGTTTTGGTGTTGCAATAGTAAAATTTCGAGCATTTTGTTTTTGACATGATTGCTACTCAGGTCGCAATAACTATTTTAACGAAGTGCATTAAATCCGAATTGTTGCTGTTACTGTAACTGAATTTGGCCCCTTAAAGTGCGAGTATTTTTGTTTCACTGCACCAAGATATAACCTATTCCCTTTATATTGTTGCCGCCGTTGTCTGGATTCCAATTCTTGTGAGCCGCATTGCCACAAACATTGTTGTCATTGGGACGTCCTCCTGTGCCAAACCCGATTCTGGAATCACAAGTAATGCAGTGGTCAACATCGTTGCTAACGATGCCAATTCTTGCCTTGTACTGGCGACAACATTGAATCCTTCTTTGTTGCAGTACGTCTGTAAGGAGCTCTGCGAACCAATCAACGCCTTCCACGCATCACGACCCAGTAAGGTATTGCGGTATTGCCCATCAGCAATCAGGGAATGCAAAGAGTCCGCTTGCCTGTCGATGACAGCAAAGTTGATGTTACCGGTAATGTTAATACCGAGACAGATTTTAGAGAAGGATGTGTTCCAGTAGGAAGGCAATTTGGTCTCCTCTGCGTCAAACCCAGTCTTCCCTCCGTCAATGTTAAAGGATTGTTTGTTTGTCCAGAGCTCTGAATCGTAGTGAAATGTTCTCTGAAATAGCATGAAAATGAACAGAAATAGGAAAAACTAAAATTAACCTATAACATTGCATGACGCAACAATAACTATTCATTGTAACTCCTGACTTCGCGTTAATTAAAATAAGTATTTGTCGAACTTATTTTATTGGTCATTAGACAGTCTCAACGAACGGAAGTCAACTCCGTTCCCAGGACAACCTTTCCACCCCGCCAGCAGTTTGTAACAAAAAGAATTATTAAAAAAGAGCGTTTTTTTTTTGTTTTAAAGCGAAAAGGAGAGAAAGCAGCGAAAAGACAGAAATTCTACAAAATAATGTTGCTTTTGCTCGAAGTAAATTTTCAAGCCTGATCCAACACTCTCCAATTTAACACGCTAGGTTTACGGTCAAGTCGCCCGAAGTTAAGTCCAGCCCGAAATGCTGAGTTATGTGGCTCAAAATTTTATCATCATGCTAAACAATATGGTAAAATCCCTGTTACCATTTGCCGCGTTTGTTTCTTCTGATCGAAGATTATAGAACGAGATATATTACTCATTTATCGCGCTTGTTTCGTTGTTAATCCAGGGTTAACTTGTTTCGCCTCATCGTCGCTTAAAGAACGAGTCATGTTACCCATTCATTCCGCTTATTTCGTCTCATGCTGGTTTAAAGAACGAGATATATTAACACACACTCTTTATCTAACAAAAATTAGCTTTCAAAAGGTTACGTTTGATCGTCCGGGTGAACGTAGTCCTGAAAGGGTGAATAGAACTGTTGTTGTTGACAGTGACTGACGTTTCGACAAGCTGTGCAGTAGTCATCTTCAGAGTCAAAGTGAGTTGTATCACGTCAGTTGATGGTATGTTGTTTCTCTGTTCACTTCACGCTTTTCAGTCGGGCGACTTACTCTCAGGGTTTCGGGCGACATAACTTCGGGCGAGATAACATTCGCGCGACTTGACCGGTTACTGTTAACAAAGCATTGTGATTCACGTAATGGTTTTTCGTCTACCATTCCGGCTCCAATTGGAACTTGGAAAAATTTGGATAAAAATCTCACCCACAAATTTCCTACCTTGTTTCCGTTTATCTTCATGACCGGCGTCCAACCCCCTGGTCCACATCCAAAGTCACCAATTTGACAGAGAACGGAAGTTGGTGTTGAGTTAAAAAAGAGTTTAACCAGCTGGCTTCGTTGGGACCTGCACAAAAGCCAAGGTGGGCACTTCGGTAAATAATTATTGTTTAAGACAGTATATAATGCAAACCAAGTGATCTGAATTGCCCAGGACTAAAATATTGAATCCAAACAAGAGTTAAATCTCACAGAAAACGTACTTCGTGCACCCAAGACTGTTCATTATTCTCTCTTGTTACAAACTAATACAGTGGTGGATCCAGGGGAGGGGCCCGGGGGGCCTGGCCCCCCCTTATTTTTAGACTAAACTGAGGCCCGAGGGGCCGAAATAAATTTTTTTGGACACAGCTCCCCCCCTTATGTAAGGGTCTGGATGACCACCCCCTCCCCCCCCGCCCTATCTCAAGTTCTGGATCCGGCACTGACAATTCATGCCAAAATGGCAAAAAATTAAAAAAAAAATGACAATTTCACTCACTTGTCTGCATAATGATCATACACTTGCTTGCATGATTTCGGAGCTAAAGGAAAAAGGATATCAACTCGATTTATAGTCACTGCACGTTTACTTCTGGGCTTACTTCTAGGTGCCGAACTGACTGATTGAGATATTTTATATATTTTTACTTTAATATTTTTACTATTTGACTGCATGCTAAGCCCCCTCTACACCTTAAGGATTTCATAAATGCGGCTTTAGAAATAAATCCAAGTCAAACCCTCCGTAAGCGAACACCCAAAATGACAATGGCAGGCGGTCGCTTACAGGAATCAAACCGCAAGGCCGACAAGAGGCCAAAGGACGTGTTTTCTTGGAAGAGGTCAGGACTCATCTGCTTTTTGGAGGGAATTTATTGCATGCAATTTCTTAGTTACGACTCAGTGGAAGTTCCATCTCGTCGCTAAAACGGTTTCGTATACTTTGATTAGCTTAGTACACATGCTACTTGCAGCGAACAAAGAGATCGGACCATGACGCCAAGTGCATGGTTGCTTATTAGAAGTTAAAAACAATGAAAAATTACAAAACATCACCCGAAATAATTGTCGTAGTCGCTTATGAGAGGTGCTCGTTTACAAAAGGTTCTACACTAAAGGGATTTTACTGAGAAACGTTTAGTGTTCTAGATAGGTGATCGCCCATGGGAGGACGATTGGTCGCTCTTACATGGAGGTTCGAAAGCATCTTCATCAAGGTCAAGTTTCATTACATTATTACTATTGTAAAGTGCAAGTCTGTCCTTTGACAACCTTTTATGGGAAACTTACCAAATACTTCGCATAAGTCTCCGACGTAACCGTCTTTACAAGCGCAGTCAAAGGTGTGATATTTGTAGTTTGGTACACATGTTCCACCATTACGGCAAGGCGAAGAGTGACACGCAGTCTAAAACATAAAGAAAGCAAAAACTCAAACTAAAACTAAAAACAAAAACACCGTTTAGCGATATAAAGGACAAGCATTTCATGTCGCTTATCGTAAATTGTTAACGATACAGCCATAAGGTGGGTCTGTTCAGAATATATCTTTAAATCAAAGCCCAGTTTAAATAACTGTTAAATGACAGTTTTCCCAACCCGATTGCCATATATATATATAGTTCAATAGTGAAATCGCTTCCCTTTTATATACCGGACGCCTATGAAAAGACGGAATCCCTTTCGTTCGGAACCTCCCCATAAAGGCCATAAAAGGGAGAGCCCGGCCTACTTGCAGCATACAGGGAGAAAATGACATGGGTTTACCGCCCCTCCCCCCAAAAGACACACTCTGACCAGTAACTATCCTATTCAGTGTTATATCAAGTTTCTAATCCTCGGCCCAGCAATGACTGAAAATTGAATGGCAATATGCGGCACCTGCTTACTCAAACTGTCTGTGTACTCACAGGTCACCCAAGCTCAAAATATGATCACCATCGGTACTGTTGAGTAACGTTCGAATTCGAAATACTCTTTTTTTTATATAACAATGTTATTTTCCGGCCTAGGCTGAATATTGTTATTTTTTGTCGATTTTAGGCTGAATATATTCTTGAATTAATCCTAATTATAAACTACAGCTTACGGCATTTTCCGCTTTAGAACATGATGTATTAGGATTTCAATTACCAGTGTTCTTGCCGTTTAGTAAAAGAAATAATTTTCTACGGTTAAGTTAAAACATAAACTGATGTACTGTATTTACAGATTTTCAAATCCTTTTCAAATTCTCAGCCTCGGGTTTATTCCTAAAATATTCTTAAAATTTCGCAAATTTCAGCTTCAATATTCTTATAAAATATATTCTTATAGAAATCAAAGGCTCCTAGGAGCGAGCTCATGGATGAATTGAATTAGTGTAGAAAAGACAGTTCAATAATCAAAGAAAAACATATAAATGTTTTTGAACGGTTCATTGTGTACGGACTTGCCAAAATACAGCGTGACTCGAAGTATCCGATTGCATGTGCACCTGAATATTCTAGAAACTTGTTATCAGCGCAGCATTTCTACTTACAACAAAAAGATCACTTTTAAAAGCAATTATTAACGCTTTTTAGTTGTAAAATAATTTGCTTTGTCATGTGACTGTACATGTCAAACACTTTCCGAACGACAGTGCACTTTCTTGTAAAATAGCTAAGTTTTACATAAGCCCGAGTTTTATTTAAACCGTGGTTTTAAGCAATTATTTTAATGGACCTCGAAGGTTTCCTAAAAGTGCGATGCTTTTAAATAAATGCTTCCATATGCTGTTCACAAAGAGTATGTAACGGTTAGTATATTAGGGGCACCCAACGAGAATATAGTTTAAAAGCACTTAAACATAGCATTGTCAAACGTATTTTAGTATTTAAACGGTAGATATAGGCATATTTTTATCCCCTAAAATTTTTTCATTTGTTCGGATTTCCTAGCTGAAAGTCTAGTGATCCGAAAATTATAGGGATCAAAACTTACCTTTTCGAAAATTTCAGGTAGAAAAAAGGCTCCCGAAAATTCTAGGCGACCTTTTTAGGGTAAAAATCCGTTAGGAATGGGCAAGTATACGATTTTTTAGTTGTTCGAAGATCCTAGGAGAGGCAGGCAAGCAAGAAAGTTTACAAAAAATGTTCCAAAAAATCTAGATCTCAAATCGTCTTCCGAATAAATGTTTTCCGAAAATTGATGTTGGGTACCCGTGGTATATGTAGAACGAGCTATTAAATACAGAATACAGGCGTTTATGGCTAAATTAAACTGCTTTAGAACGCGCTTTTGATAAACACTAGCTAAAAATTATTTTAATAGCTGTACGTGCTCTGATCTAGCTAAGTATTTATTTAAACGCAGTCGAAGTATCCGATTGCCTTTCTCCACCTAAATGTTCTAGAGACTTGTCTATACAAGCGCAGAATTTCTTGTAGAAATTACATTAATAACACTGCTAAATGGAATCGCCGACAAACAAAAACCTACTTTATGGCAAAGATCACTTAAGAATTCAAGGAAAATAGCGTAACGCTTGTTGGTTCTAAAACCTGTGCTTCCAGTTGACACAACATTAATTCAGTCCTTGCTGTTTGCATACGAAGACAAATGGTCGAATGGATTCGTCCAAATAACAATAAACCACAATAGATACTCCTCAACGTCCCCTTATTCGCTTTTCCCTGAACGAAATCCCATCGTCAGGCTGCGATAGCTCTTTCACACTCCTGTCGATCGCATCTTCTCCATATCAAGTAATATCGGGAAAAAATGTGGCCAATTCGTCCAAATATACAACAATGATCCACGCTCAAAAATTTCGATATCCTTTTAACATTTCTAAGTCCATTTCTTTCAGATGATATTATCAGTGTTCTTTAGAATATTTCCATTTATACAAAACCCATTTCTATAACTGATGTGTCGGGGAAAAAAAATACGCTTTACTAGTACCCTCTCGGAATATTCCAAACATATGCGTAAAAGGCACTTGGAACAAAAGTAATACTAAGTAAGGGAGGTAAGAGTAAAGTGTTTCATCTGACTTTAATGAATAAATTAATGAGAATCGAGTGAGTGAGTGAGTGAGTGAGTGAAAGAGTGCCATTCGAGTGCCTCCAAAAGGCCATCGCACGACTACGTCATCCATGAGCTAAAAAAGAGTGTATAGGAGACAAAAAACGATTGTCTCTGCAGCCTACGAATGTGAAAACGATTTATGATCCTGACGCATAAAATCTTTTAACAGCTGACGGAGGTTTAAGTTTCAGATCGAAATTTTTGGCACAGGCTAAAAGTAAAAAAAAAATGTTATTTTTTGCTTTGTAAGGATCATATTGATGAAAGTTCTGTTTTACTGTGTAAAAGATGTAAAGTGAAAAATGAGAAAAAATAGGTTATTGTTGGGGTGATGCATCTCATTCAATTGAATCCTCTTTTAATTAACTTTTTAAGTGACATGCTTGTTCGTACGTGTGCTTTACCCCTTTAACCAACTTGAAGATAAATTAAAAATGACGACCACACACACACATCTCTAGAGGTTATCGTTGGGGTGATGCATCTCATTCGATTGAATCCTCTTTTAATTAACTTTTTAAGTGACATGTTTGTTCGTACATGTGCTTTACCCCTTTAACCAACTTGAAGATAAATTAAAAATGACGACCAGACACACACCTGCGGTACCAAATTTCCTATTTATAACTCCTCTTCCGTTTTACCTATCCAAGCATTCTGACAAAGGCAGATGTTCTGCTGTAAATGGTCTAAAGTGACCGAATCCTCCTTCAGACACAACGGGAAAAGCCATAATTTTAAAAAAAATGTCGGCGGGTTATTGGGAGAAAATCTTAGAGGGAGAACATTTGTGAAGTTGTTTAACCAGTGCTTTTAGGCGGCCGGCGGACGGGGGGGGGGGGGGGGGAGGGAAAATAATAGTGATACCTTAATGGAAAAGTGATGCGAGCTCTGGTTTCTTTTGTACTCTCCAGGGTTGCTGTACTTTTCAGAAGATAGCAACTCGCACCAGAGCTTCCCGTCTGCTCCTTTTGACGCGGCCAAGTTAATAGAAAAACAGGAGGGATTACTTAGACATCGAAGGGCACAGTCCAGGGTGTTGTACACGGCGTATGTTCCAACTCTGGGTACATTGAGGTAATGGTGATCGTCTTTTACAAAAATGTCTTGGCGAAGATCTCGGTGATACAAGGTGTTAAATTCTGCGGGACAAAAAATTTTTAACATTTAGAGGAAACGAATAAACTAAATAATTTGTCGTAACTATTTGTTAAGTCACTGTTGCAACAAGGTTTAGAATACTAGACACTTCCACGTATTTTTTCAACCTTTGTCAAGGACCAGCTAGTGAGTACCGTAGACTGCCACGTATATCTCTACCCCCCCACTTATAAGACCCATGATTATAAGCCCTTCTCTAGCTCTGACGTTTTGAAACTCAATTAAAGACCAGTAAACGCAAAACATTTTTTTTTCATCAGCAGTGCTTTAGCTTGTTTCAAAGAACTTTTTGTATTCCGGTTAAAATCCCCCTTCGTTTATCAGCCCTCGTAAAACCCCTTACGAAGACGTATAAGCCTAGGACTTTTAAGACGCCGTTTACCGCGGTATTCATCTAAAACAGTGGGAAAAGCGCCTTAAACTTTGTAAAATTGGCACATTTGAAACTGATACGTCGGGAACGAGGGAAGAGTCAGTCCATAGTGTAATCCGAAGCGCCACCAGCTCCACCATACTAAAGTGTGCAAAGTTATTTGCGAATTTACGGAGGAAAACCTTCTTTAGTTTTCAATTTATTACTCCCAAACTCAGACCGAGTTTCTCGGCAACACTGATTTCCAGCCGTGTTGAGGAATTTTCACTTACTGGCTCGCGTCAAAAGTTGAAAAGGCTGTGGAAACCTGGTCATTAATTCAAAATTCGTAATTGTCAGTTCAAGAAAATCGACAAAAACTATATATTATAAAAGCCGTGTAAGTAAAATATATAGAATGAAAAAAATAGAGTTTGCCGGTTTACGTGAAAGGAAGAGATTGATTTAGATCAGAAACGACAGTTTAAGAAAAATCGCTAGGCTCAAATTTTCAACGTGCAAGAATTGTTTTTGTGCCATAACATCAACCAAAGGCGAATAATTCAAAGTAACCAGAAACTCAAACCTTATGGAATACCATTTTACTTTAAAGGCATTCTTTGCCTTAAATGTAAGATACATCACCTCAAATTTAGTGAAGTCTTTTTTAGTGCTCTGTTAACTTTTTATTATGTTTTAGCATTTTACTGCCTTTGCCGTCTTTAGTCTGGGTTTTAAACGTTTTATTTATCATTTTAAGACTGATTTGAATAGCACCACAAACCTTCAAGCTGGGCAAATACTCCATCAGGTGGGATTAAACACAAGAAGAAGAGGAGACAACAGCACAAAAATGAAGGATACAGCAGCCATTGAAGGATATGTAAGTGAGTCTTGAGCAAGGCGCGAAAATTTGTGATCATGGTGCTCTTGGATACAGTGTTGCGGGCTGTACCCATACTCGTAAATACTATCCGTTTCGGGGCAGCAAATAATTTAAACTTTTTCCCTTTAATTTTTTAACAATTTTTCCCGAACTGTTAGCCAATGACATTTCACTAAATAATTGCTCCATCAAGAAACTTATAAATTTTGCAGAGGGTATTATTTTCAACCCCTTAATGTCTGCACAACCCTTCGTTTTTCCCACCTGCTTCAAGAGGCATTCTTTCGGTCAACAACCAAATTCTCTTTACCTATTTCTAAAAGTTTCGCAAGAATATTTATGAGAATTCGGTCAATGGAGACAGTCCATTTTTGCGGGACTATATTGGATCGTTCATATATATGTACGGTTCAACTTCTCGAAATTAAACTTAATTTAAACTTGGGAAGATATTAAGTTACTCTCGATTTCTTCCGCTGTTATTTAGCTGAAAGACTCCATTCCACTTTTTCAGTAAAGTAGTGTTTTTTGATAAACGGACAAATATGTCAGTTATGCTAAGTGCTCAGGAGTGAAATAGAAAATACGCCAAGATTTAAAACGGTTTTTGTCCAGATAACTTATTGGAAGAAATTTTTAGAGGCTGTATAGACTGCACCTGGTAGAAATCCATGTCGAGCTGCCACCAGGATCGGTGGACAATATTTCATAACAAAGTCAATATTTGAAATTTCATTTACATAAAGATATAGGTCCTGCGCAAAAGCAAGGTGGGCATAACAGTAAACGAAAAATTGTTTAAGACGTAGTGATGCAAACCAAGTGAATAGCCTGGGACTCAAATATTACATTCAAACATGAGCAAAATCTCACAGAAAATGTACTTTGCGCTCCTGGGGGAAGGGGTACTCCTGGAAAATATACAAAAAAGTATTCTAGAAAGAAACAAAACCTTTCCAGACTATAAAAACAACAAGTTAAAAAAGTCGAAAATTTGGGATTTTTCCAAAGTTTTATACCAGTCATGAATTACGAATAGATTTTCGGTGTAAGGGCTCGTGTAAGGGCCCTTACGCCCTTACAGCCCTTACACCCTTTCACCCTTACAGCCCTTACACCCTTACAGCCCTTACAACCCTTACAGCCCCTACAGCCCTTACGCCCCTTTACAGCCCTTACACCCACATTGGTCTCCTTTGGAGGTTTTTAGACTTTCCGATCACTTTCATAGGGGGGTCCCCCGGGTTTTCAACCTTATGCATGGCTCTTCTTTTCAATCACTATTTTTGCTTCATCTCTTTAAGTCCCAAGAGTGACCAACATCAATTTTCTCTTAACTATATCAATACATCATCAATAGAAAAGGTTAGGAGAATTAACAAAATGATCACCAAAGAAGAAATGCTTTGATCTTATAAGGCAATGTATGGACAGTGGAAAATTGGTATTTGGGTATTGGGGCTTAAAGAGTTAACCAGTGACTGTCCCCCGAATATTACATATTTGTTTTTTATCATACATTGCACTCACTAACTGTCTCCTTATTGGCTAAGAGCCTACAATTAATTTTGGGGATCAGCGCAACCTACAGATCAATTTTAGTTATCAGCAGCTAGCCAAAGGTTGTTATATAAATTTGATAATTAAAACACTTAACTACGTAAATTTACATGTATTTTTATTTATGAAATTTATATAACCCCTTTGGCCAGCTGCAGATAATGATCCAAAATGTTTAGGCAGCAGCTGACATAATGGCAAAATGGCATATTATATATTTTTAAAATAAAAATACATAACTTTTAATTAAAATAAATCGTTCTAACTCTGTACAGACTCCCTTAAATCTATTTAAGCGTTATCTAGTTAAATCCATTTAAGCTTACATGATCACTGCCAATATTAGGCTATGTTCATACTTTAACGAATAGCTTTTCGAAGCGCCACGATAAAATGAACAGTAATTTCCCGGGGGCGGCACAAGTCAACTGAACATCGTGCCGGGGCGGTTGTTGGCAACCTCGTCCCCAGGGGTTTCCATTTTTTAAGGGAAAAGCCCTGGGGACGAGGTTGGGTCGTTGGCCGAGAGGGTCTGGTGCACTAAACTTCAGGCCTCACTCTTGAAGATTTACTTCAGTCTCAAAGGGGTTGCGGAAGACCTCAGATGACAATGACCTCAACCAGGCTGGCGTCCAGCGGTTTTAGTGAAAGAAAGGATTTGGTTGGGGGTGCTCAGTCTCGCGGGCTCATAAAACCTGGTCTTGATCACGTGGGTTGCAGCCCTGACTCCTACTCATTTACTGCCGCAACGGGAAATAAATGAGATTATTATCACATGACCTGTATTGGAGAAACAAAAAATACAAGCTAAAGAGGTCTATTTTCGCGTTGTTCGTTTGTATAGGACAAAGAAATGTACTAGAAAAGTGTGATTGCAAACTTGTTGTTTCGCTTATTATGGCCAAATTCGTTGTATCGCGCTGCGTGTTTCGCAAACTTCGAAGGAATTTTGGGTTTTTCTGTTCCGTCAATCATCTTAGCGGACCTCTTAGGAAACAAATAATTATTTGTGATTGGTGCATTTCGATCCACTTTGTTTGTTTCTGTCTTTCAAGTTTCGTTGCTTGTGATCGCCCTGTATCGGGCAATAGTCGACCAGTTTTCTTCAAATATTTTTCTGATCTTTCTTATTCTTGTCTCTTGAAAGAATAAAGCAATGTCTGCCTCCTGCCATATCGCTATTCTTGAGCAGTCTAGAGTCATTCTCAGTTTTGTTTTTGCGGGCCAAGCTGGGCGAGTGCGTTGCATTGTGATTAACATTAACTCCGGCCCAACTCAAATGTTTGACGGAACAGAAAAACCCATTCGAAGTTTGCAAACGTGCAGCGCGATACAACGAATGTGACTATAAAACAGTCGAGTCATTATCCTCGCCGTCGTCAGCTGTTAACTCCCAATGTCAGGACTTTACCAGGAATTTCCCTGTAATACCCGTGGTCAAAATACTGTTGGTGTGATTTTGATTGGTGCACGCAAGAGAGAATAGCTCATTCTCTCTTGTGCACGCGTAATGCTTGTTTGTGATTGGTGTGCCTGTGTCCAGCAGTGCTTGTTGTTAATCTAGTAAGCCACAACCCCGTAGGACACCTCATGAACTTTACACAACCCACGATTCCTTGTCGCTTCGGCTTCTAGCTGAAAACGCACGTGGCGTGGCATGGCACCATTTGCAACCAGACTGATTTGCAACTGTAAATTGTCATGTCCGACGAAAGGTTTCCACGGAACGAAGAGAGTATGTCAGGTAACCTTTAATATTTATATTGTCGGTGTTGTTTCAATGCATTCACCCGTGAGACTTCACTCCCGGTCAATACCGACACTGAACCGTTTAATGCAGAAGCAACAAGCGCAAGTAGCCTTCGTTGCGTGTCCACTTTTCAGTCCGGTTGTGTCCATGGAGGACTTCATAGAGTCCTTTTGCAAAAGACAAGATGACTTTTTGAAGGGAAAATCTTGCTCGAGTAACCGACGTTTTTTGGCGGCTTACTAGCCGAACTGGGAACCAAATTAAGCAAACATGGCGGAGTCGATCGAAGTCGATGTTCGCTGAAAGGTTTCGGATTTTGTACGGATTCAAGTCCATCCTTTAAAAGGGAAACGCACAATGAACCGTAAAAGGGTTTAAAAACTTTGATGTTTCTTGTGGGATTGAGAAACGAGGCAGTTTCTCAATGTCTGTATTTTTTACTTGTTTTTCAGGTAGCACAGTGACAACTACCTGGGCCGTTTGAGCAGGTGAGGTTAAAGTAAGAGACGTTCCAACCCCTTCTGAGAGAATATTGGAAGGTTTTTGTCAGCCCCAAAGGAGCTAATATGAGAGCCGAAGGCGCCAGTCTTCAGTCAGTCATCTACAGTAATGCACCAGTCAATGTAAACCCCCGCACCCCCCTCCCCGGCCGGGACATGGCGGGGCATTTGACAAGCGCTCACTTCTAAAGTTGCAAAATGCCCTGCAACCCAAGGTCAGGTTTTTCCTCTAATTGAAGCTAACGACCCCGCTCACATCCCCCGCTCTTCACGTTGAGTGGAAGACACAGGCTAATGTAAATGGTTTAAACGCTATTTGTCAAGTAACACATGTCACCGCATACAATGCTTTTCAAATGGTATAAAATGTTTGTGGTGTCTTTATAGTCTACTGTTAACATTTAACAGCAATATTAAATTCTACATGCTAGTAGAAGAGGGTTAAGTGTTACTAAATGCAGTTTAAAAATGTATTCCAAAATTTGAACAAACACACTGTTTCATAGAATGGGTTTAAAGAACACATTTAACTTTCCTGTTCCACCTTCTTGTTTCCACTGAAGACCTACTCCTGGCCAACCTTCAGTTGGCACTCATTGCAATACCAGTGTCCTGTAGGCTCTCTTGTGATTCCAATGCAAGAAAAATGGAACCATTGAACTGGACATTGTGGATTGTCACATATTCAGCATGCAAAGAAAGTCGTGTTCGATAGCCTGGGGCTAGTGGATTTTGGTTTCGGGCTAGTGAATTCTGTTTTTAACTTGCCCGACGAGCAAGTGAATTTTTTTGGGAAATTCAAATTACAGACGTATTGTAATCAATCCTGCTAATCAAAAAGGGTTTTGGGGCTAGTTGAAATGACTCGTGGGCTAGTAATGGCAGGCTGTAAAACTAACTTTCTTTGCACCCTGCATATTTAACAACCCACCTTCAAATAATAATGTTCCTTGAGCTTTCCCCTTTGTAGTTACACTTGTAAAAAATGGTAGTGGTCTCACTCTCTGTTGCATAGAAATTCATGATAATTCAAAATCAGTTAACTTTGCTTATTATTTATATCATTGATGAATTTCAGCCTTCAAATAAATAAAACTGATTAAATTTCCAGACATTCGTGTCATGAAAATACACAAACATTTCAAGACAATATGCCTATGCTACAATACCTGATTTTGATGCACTTGAAGAACTTCTTTTGGCAGTCGTAGAATTCTCTTCCTATTTAAAGAAACAAATTATATAAAGTGTTTTCATTTGCGTGACTACTGGCCATATTGGTTTACTGAAACAAAAGAAAGTATTT